CTTTGATCTTCACTAATGTTTTCGACATTATCTTAAAATCTATGGAACCTAAGATAAAGGATCTTAAAACTTCCCTGTAGTTCAGGACGATCTTTTAGCTTTCGGGACAACTCGGAAGTTTTCTTAACATCGTTGAAATTTTTGAACTTTCTATGAAAATTTCTGAACTCCTTGAAGGTATTTTTTCTAATGTTCATGGAATTAGGGTAAGTGCGCCAGTTTTGGCACTAGTGCTCCAGTAGTTGACCTAAATCAAATTTTAAGTAATTTTTCTTGGTTTTATTTGCGTAGATATATGGCAAAATATATGTTCTAACCAATGCTGAGATTTGTCATAGTCATTGACAGACTTTCGCACGATATTGACAAAAATGTTTTTCACATAGTCACTGACAGACTTGATCCTCGAAAAACCTTCGTCATAATCTCATTAATTTTTAACCTGGTAACAAAAAGTTTAATTTCATGCATTCTGTGTCACATTAATGTTATCCTGCTTCAGGACGTAGATGCTTGGTCACTTTTAACGCTCCATGTAATTGTGTTACTCAAGTCATTTAATTTCGTTACAAATTTAGTTAATAAAAAAATACACATGTTTGTCACTGACAGCATTGTCATTGACAATTGACATGGTTTACGTTGACAATGACTGTTAGCTCAAATGAGTAACCAAAGCAGAATTCTCAATATCACCGTGTATTGTCAAGATTTTGCAGCACTGGTTCTAAGCTTGTAGGGAAATAAATTTGGCAAAGACTAATACAATGTGAAATTGAAGATAGAGGATGAGAGAATTGCTAAGGCCAAATACTGGCACACTTACCCTTACATAAAGTTATCAATATTTTCCTGAAGCTATAGTCTTCTTCTTCTTATTCGCATTTCAAGCTTATTGCTTAGCGCATTATAGCTTATTGCTTGCTTTCAACTTAGTGTTCTAAATGCACTTTCACAGTTATTAATTGAGAGCTTTCGATGCCATATATTGTGTGGCAAGCACAATTATACCAACAATCAATACGAAACTAACGATTTTAAATTGGCTCACCACTTTAGTAGCCTATTGGTCCCAAGCAAACGATTAACGTACCCTATTCTAGTTGAAATTCTATTACTACACTATGTTTGTTTTGATTCGCTATGAAAGTTTGACAGATAACATCAGGGGTGTGTGGATTCATGCAGAACATGCAGGGGTGAGTGAAATAGCTTGGGACTGCTTGGGACCGTTGTTCTGGTACTGAGTGAGCCAAAAATAATAATGATTTTCTTCGGGACCCAGTGGTCTTAGAGTTACCTCTATGATTATACTCTATGCCCAGAGAAGTCGAGAAAATTTCCAACCCGAAAGATTCCCTCGACCGGACCGGGAATCGAACCCGCCGCCTCCAGTTTGGTAATACCGCGCCTTTACTGACTAGGCTATGAGGCTCCCAGCTATCGTAATTTTTCTGACAATAATGGGACTCCCAATAATGGACGTGTTCTTGAAATATATGGAAGATTACTGCAATTTTTTAAAAGTAATCAAGCGGGCCTGAAGTTTCCAAAATTTTACTGAAGTTTTTTGAACTTCATGTTCATAGAACTGCCCTCAGAAGTTCTCAGAACTTTCCCGAAGCTTTCTGTCCAACCCTATGAACAGGCATGGAAAATCATTTGCATTCATTTCGTGCATTCATTTACATTCATTTACCTCTAACTTTTTTCATCAATAGCATTCCGCAAAATGATGTACATAGCTTTTGTAGGTTTTGTTATTAGCTACAACTGTTAAAAAGTCAAATACGTATCTTTGATGCATGACCTGCAATTTTCTGGAGTTTTTCAAAGTTCTTGTTAAATTTCTGAAATGTTTTTGATGTTAATGGAACTGTCGTAAAGTTCTCTGTTCTTCATTTTATTCCACGAATTTTTTTTAAGGCGATGGAACTGTCCTGAAATTCATGGAACTTACCCTTAAAGATCTTTAATCTTCCCCAACGAGCAGTTCCAGGACGAAAACAAAAAAAAAATGGATTTTTGAATCAACCTTCTTTGATTTGTGTGAAATTTTGCGTAATGTTATGAGCATTGATTCACATTGGGGCATTTTGGATATTTTAAAATTTTCAAAATGGCATCCTTGAAATTGAAATAAAAAATGTAGCACAGGAACGACATTTTTGATCGAAATGCCGTCTGAGATCGAAATAGAAAAATAATCTATTTCTAGGACAAGTAAGCCAAAGATGTTCTTTATTGAATTTAAGTAAAAATAAAAAAAAAGATGTTATGAACCTAAATGTCTCCAAATGCCCTTGCCCATTTTTTAATAAAAAAATATAAAAAAAAAGTTTATGAAAAATGCAAACTTTTTGAATGTTCAAAAGTATGGACACTTGAAAACTGACAAAACCGTACACCAAGAATTTTGGTCAAATTTTTGACCTTCAAAAACGCCATTTCAAAATCATTACAAAATCCAAAATGGCGGAATTTTAGCAAAAATGCGAATCATTGCCAATAACAAATAATTATGCAAAATTTCCTGCACATCGGAGAAGATCGTATTCTGGAGTTCTGGGCTTTCCTGTACCAGAACTTTGTTTGTTTTTATGTTGTCTCATATAAGCGCACAGTAATGAATGGGCGTCCAAAAATTGCCAAATGAATTTTGGTGCACAGCTTTTAAATGAGTTGCGTCTGTGGATCAATATTTCCGTGGCCAGTTAGCTTTGATAAAATAAACAAAATAGTCGATTTTTAGAGCTGGTTACTAATAGAAAACATGAGTAACCACCATGACAGGCCTGTTCGGGAGACAAGTTGGTTCGATATCATGGTAGTGTTGTTAAATTTTCATGGAGTACGATCTGTAGATAGGTAAATTTGTTTCCAGTGCGTTAATGGTTAATTTCCTCTACACATTTCAAAAAATGCCTACAAATTCGGGGATAGATCCGTAGTTAATCTAAAAATCCGTAAAACTGACCACACTGGGTCCAGGTATGGGAGACAATTTCCTGATATCGGTGATAGACACTCGTTTGTGGAACAAAAACCGTCGAAAAAAAAACATGAAGAAGTCTACAATTCGATTAAATCTAAACAAATGTAGTTGTCACAATACTCTTATCTTGGATTCAAGCTTCTGACGAAACAATTTGTTGGAAAAAATGTTCGCGCTACTCTTGCATACGCCTACTTGGTCTGGCAAAAAAAGAAAAAAAAAACGAACATGAATTGGAAAGTTGAATAAGCAGAACATTATATGTTATCGTATGTTCCGCACTGTTGCACTCATTGATGTGTTGTGTTGATGCGTTGGTCTGTTCATCGCCTGAAGATATGCATCAATGTTTCTCACCTTACCCAGCTTACCGCAGCGGTAAGGTATCTACACTGAAAACGAATCTTACTCAGAGAGTGAGTCACTTTTACTCATTCGTATGGATACATTTCTAAAAGCGTTGGTCACTCAGCACAGGTTTGAACGTTTCTTCAAACGAATGAGTAAAAATGACTCACTCTCTGAGTAAGATTCGTTTTCAGTGTAGGCGAATAGGCGGGCAAGTGTTATCGCATCATATCGCTATAAACCTGTGGAAAGCCATATAACTTCATCTAGGTGCTAAACTGGGTTGGTTTGTGCATCGATCATCAATCATTGTACATTGACAATCACTTTAATACGGTGGTATAATCTAGTATCAATTTTTTTTAAATTCGATAAACATTGTGCAAAATTAGATTATCTCTGCACTTTTTCCGTCACTCAGTATATGTATTCTGGAATTTTTCAGGGTAGTGGTCGCAATGTCCTTTCATTATACACAGTTAGAGTTATAGAAGCTACTCACGTTTGTCACACGTACGCTATCGCCGTGTTTAGTTGTTTTTTATTTACCTCGGGTATTAACCTCATAATTTTCTTATGATTGGGTTTTTATGGGATACATATCTCAAAGCTTTTGCAATCCTTTTCTGCACAAACCGCCCATGTTATTGTACGATATGTAAGATCAACTTTATAATCACTTTGAAAATTGCTTAATGAAAGAAGAAAGCGTGAAACTTCACGCGATGAGCTCAATTTTTCGTATTACACTTTAATCCGCTACGATCAAAGCTTTCGTGCATGCATAATTTTACCGAAACAGGAACCCAGAACTTGTGAGCTTTCATTATCCGGTATTATTAAACCGTTACCGCTACGCTAAGCTTTCCCATGGTTAACCCGGGTTAAATATGTATCTCCACTAGATAAGGACACATTTTTGCTCATACTCGCTCGAGCTCTCGATGCTCTGCTTCCTCGCCAGGCTACATGCGTTTCAACGGCGGCTTGCAGGCAGAAAGGCTTAATCCACTTTCCGCACACCCAAAACTGGTGCGTCAAACCCGGTGGCGATGTTTTCGCATAATTTGGCCATCATTAGCAGCATCCCTTGGTCGGAAATCCCACAGAAATAAGATGCTAGTGGGTCGTTTCTCCACTTGGTGGTCGGAAGGGGAAGGGGGTGTTGGGGGTTTATTCAAAAGTTTCATGGTAAATACAGTATTGACTCGATTTGGCCAGCCTCTTTTTTGACAATTTTTTTCTAACCCGTAACCCATGCACCAAAGCATACCCTAAACACCCATCTTTAAGATGATTTGGAACTACGGTTATGTGAAATTATTGAAAGATAAATGTCTGATGCGCGGAGGGGCTGACAAAATCGAGCCATTACTGTATCTCATAGCATTCCGGAAAACTCGGCATGTGGTTGCTGTATTGTTTGGAATGCTGTGTGTCTTTGCTTCTAGCAAGAAAAGCCCGGTACCTTAATTTGATTATGCTAGACTCACTCCTCCACCGGAGGCATCGAAAATTCAATAATCGAATTTACTTTGGTAACTTAAAATTGAAAATCAACTAGTTCATTGCGATTGGTCATAGTCATCATCGTCATCGCTTTTCCAAATGAATGACTCTTACCATGTGCGGGGGAGATAACGGGAAGGATGCTTACCTCGAGTAGCATCGGCTTGGTGGATAATCGGCGGCATACTGACTGCCGGGCTGCTGTCGACATGATTGCTGTTCTCGGTCCTCGTTGGTTACGATTGGTGTTTGGAAGGCAAATGAAAGACTCTTGTGCAGGCGGCCGTGGTGGTGGTGGGACTGGCCGGTACTCTGGCAGTATGGGCTGTGATAGTTGTAATTGGCCGTATTGGATGTGCCCCTTTCGAGGCCAGCTGCGCCATTTCCGAGCAGGCCAGGGCCACCGTTCATGAATTGACTCGAGAGACAACGTTGTGGTGGTTGCTGCTGCTGGCCTCCATATCCTGTACCTTGTTGGGACGCCGCCATCGGGTGGCAACCACTGGACAGATTCGTACTGTGCGTGTTTGGATACCACTGATTGTTGAAACGCTGCGATGATGAAAAGCTACGATTCAGCATGTGCTGACAGTCGCTCGATGAAGTGGGTGCCGTACAACGGGATGTTATTGATCTGCGGAGGGAGGGTGGTGAAGTTGGGTGAGTTTGTTTTCGTTGTTGTAACATCATGACTCATGACTATAGATTGGCAGCATTTTGAATAATTAATTGTTGTGTTGAGAGAGCTCTTAACCCGGAATAGATTCAGTTTATTGGATATGATGCGGTACAGGATATACGTAATCAATTAAAGATAAACACACAGTTATTACTAACAATCAAACAAATCGGAATAAATTTGTGGTCTGAGTATCCATAATCATTATGACTGGCTAAAAGCTACATAAGCCCATTTTTGACATTAGCAAATACAGTCAACTCTCCTTATCTCCAAGCAAAATTCGTTAGTGTGCATAAATCATAGATAAAGCTAGTTATCTAGTTTCGAAGAGCCTGTCGAGATATGTAGAGTTGACACGAACAAGTTCATCCTGCTTACTATATATCACACCTACCCATTGGTCGAGTACTTCATGTTCTTCCCGTCCGGATGGCCGACGAAAAAAAGAATTATCGCCGAGATGGCTGCACTCGCTGCACAGATGTAGTACCCGGCTCGACCGTACCGGTGTGATGAGTCGTTTAGGAAAGCACACAACGGAACTCCAAATAGCACCGGCAGTGATTCAGCACTCTTGATAAATCCCCACGACTTGGAGAAGTACTTGCCCCGGATTCGTTCGATGGCCAGCATTTTCAGCGTGTACCGGTAGCCACCCAATCCGAGACCGTATGCCCAAGCAGAGAAACATAGACCACGATAGTCAGCCACGGCCGAGAGGACCAACAGCGAAAGGGATATTAGTGTAACACAGCCCTAGGATAATGGGAAGGTGGATGTGAGAAGCAAAAATTAGAATTCATGATTTACATGCATTTCCCTCAGGCGTGCCTACCTGACAGACATATTGACGAGATATTCGAATTTTTTTGAAGGAGATTTCCAGAGTTTTGTTGATGGACGATCCACTGAATACAACGCCCAGTGCAATCGACAGCCCTAGGAACGTTTGCAGCAGAACCAAATCCTGCATGTCGTATCCTTCGGTGAATCCGTGCAGTGACTAAAAGATAAAAAGGAATAGAGAGAGAGAGAGAAAGTGAAATGCAAATGAACGCGTATTAAGGATGGAATTTCTCATTAAGTGGAGCCCAACGTGCAGCTAATGGGATTTTCTGCTGTTCAACCACTTGAAATCATTCCCAAGCGTTGCGTCTGTTGGTGTGATAATCTCTAAATGAGCTTAAAACTGGAATAAATTCAGGAATTAGATTATGTGGATTTTCTTGCTGTGTGTGTGTGTGTGTGTGGGGAAGCGTGATGAGTTTAATGAAAAAAAATGGCCATGATGCGCAAATGAAAAAAAAAATACAATCCGTCTGAGCAAAATAGGTCAAATGATGAAAGCCATTAAACTTTTTTGCACTTCACATGGGATGGGGTGGTGATATGGAAGCGAATAAATCTCCTTCATGGAGGCACTTTTCGAGGGTGCGTAAATTAAATCAGCCGTGCACTTTTTGCGAGCGTGGTTGGGAATTGATATGATTTAGGCTGCCATGATAACGTGAGGTCATTAAATCGGGCATCCGTTGTAGTAAATCTTGTTCAATTGGGGGAACGATATGCGATTATGAAGTTTGATGAACTATTACATAATCTTATTATATAATTAAATTAAATTATGAATCGTATTTTTTGCTATTATTGCCAATGGAAATGGCAAAACATTTTTTATCGCTATAATGAAATACTATAATTGACCATCGAAGGGATGCACGTATCCTATAGCACTTCTCTAGGTTTGAGGGTTGAATTTCAAGTAGATTGTGAGCGAAAAAGCTTCATATTTTGCGTTCAATATTTGAATCTAGGTGTGGGGTCTCTGATGGACTAGTGGGTTTAATTCTCTGTCCGATCGAAGCTATTTTCGGGCTGGATTGCTGCCACTCACTTGCTATAAAACAATGTTTTTCGGAATTATAAAATCGTTAGATGATATAATTAAAATTAGTACTGGTAAGTTACAAGACGAGGTTGTAAACTATGCTTTTGACACATGAAATCTGTCAATTTTACTTTCAGAGTGTCACAATCAGTGATTTTACGATTCGTGAGCGCTCACTCTGAGTGAACGCTCACGAATCATAAAATTGCCAATTGTGACGCTCTGAAAGTGAAATTGACAGGTTTTATAATTAAAACACATGCTTTTTAATCTCTTATTGTAACTTACTAGTACCGAATATTATTAAAACATCCAGTAATTTCATTATTCCGAAAAACCATTTTTTATAGCAGGTGAGTGGAAGCAACTCTGTTTCGGATTGGACATTTTCTCTAATTCCGTGGGCTGTGCCACTGTGAAAGTTATCTGATATGATGTGCCATATGGATATCGTAGAACAAGGTAGTCCTTAATTTGCACTGTTATAGTTGATTTAATGATCCATACAAATTGGAAATAGAAACATAGGGAATATGGTAGGAAACAGTTCGTTTTGAGATTTTCTAAGCCTCCACAGAAAACAAAAATCTGAATATTAATTGTGATGTAGACATTCATTCACGTAAACATGTATTTCATTTCACGCAAACGAGCCACTTGTAAGCAAACTTTCATGCAACTTTTCAAAACTTGAACTGTATGTGCAAAATAATATTCAATGTTTCAACAGTTGTTTGAAAGATCTTTAAGAAACAGTATTTTGATGAAACACTAATTGTTTGCGAAATGAGCGTCAAACAACTCAGCTTGACCATTAGCAATTTTAATGAAACTGTCAACAACATGTCTTTGATTTAGGTTATTATGTTTTTTTTCCACAGGTCAAGAGACTATTTCGCCAAAAAATGGCATTAACATGAAATGTAAGGGTTGATTTCTCACATCCTCTACAGTTTTTCATATAGCAAATGTAATTACCGTTCTTACAGTGAAGTGCTGCGTACAAGCAAGTTTTTCTTAAATGAATATTTTTGTATAAAACCTTCACGAAAATTTCCAAATTATTTAAAAACCTTCCGTCGACTACATTACAGAATCTGTTAATGCGATGTAACATTTTAAATTCTGCAAGCTTTTTATGCAAATCTGTAAAAAAAATATTGAATTCCCCAGTTGAGTATATTTAATATTTTCAGCTCCATAACAGTTCGACCAATCTTCTTGGTGTGAAAAGGTAAGTTTTAATGAATTTAATATTCATTTTTTTAAACCCTTTTTTATAGATGGATAATCACGATTTACTTATAAAAAAGGGTACATTCATGAGCAAACAAAATTAGTCAATACTATTTTCCGAAATATCTCGAAAACGACTACATTTAGGAAACTGCTCACCAAGAGCGTCTTGATTAGATATGATCTAAAGAATCGTATTTTATTCTTATAATGTGCTTTTTAATATTAATACATTAAATTGAAAAAAAAAAACTACAATGAACAGTCCTATAGGGTTGTACGCAATGGTGACGTAGGACTACGTAGTCTTATATAATAAATCTTATTTGTTAACTGCAACAGGAGCTTGTGTTTTGTGTAAGAATAGGAATTTGAGCGGGGTCTCTCTGTTTATACTCTTTAGTATGACGCGCTTGATATAGATGGCCCACAGTGGCTCACGAAGAGCTACTGATTCTGATCAATAGCGGTGTGGCTTCTATGAATGCTCCACGCGGTGATTGAATACACACCGTTTGGTGAGACCGGATGGAATTCAACTTTGAAATCTGTGTTAGGGAAATCACTTTTCGCAGCCAATCGGAGATAGTTTTAATTATCATAGCAACAGTTGCACATTCGTGCAATTTTCAATAGTCATATTTTGAAAATTGATAAAGTCTTAATTTTAACATATTCGTTTAAAAAATCCTATCTATTGCCGTATTAACAATTAAAATCCATCATTTTTGGATCAAAATAAGACCACTTTCATGCCGCGACCGACTTTGGCTTTGAAATTGCACCCCTAATGTTGCCTTCAAGAACATGGTATGTTAGATTAAAACAAATCTAGATAAAGCTGGAAATAGGCGTAAACAATTACATCGCACGATGATTTTTAGGAATTCAAGGCACGCCCACGCAAACCAACATTACCGTTGGGTAGAGGAAGTCTTATCCTACCTGATGTTGATTTGCGTGTTCGAGCTTTGACTTTCAAGACATCATCGAAAGAAGTAATTGTTTACAAAAGCTGTTACGCTCTAATTCCAGCTCTTTTTTGATATGGGAACTGACATCCGATGACGCTTGACCAATGTCCAAAAAATACTCTTTTACAAATTTATGGTGGTCCTGAAAAAGGACCATTTTATCGTGATGGTTGAGTAATACTGAGCTATTAGGGTGTTAAACACAGATGAGGCTGGTGAGCTGTATGTTGTTTGGAATGAGGGTGACGCGCTTGGCATAGATGGCCCACAGCGACTCACGAAGAGCTACTGATTCCGATCAAAAGCAGTGCGCCTTCTTCCTCCTTCTATGGATGCTCATGTGAACTGCAGCTCGCTGCTTGCAGCCAGCCTTTCGTTGTGTACTGGAGAACAATGTTCAACGCCACGCGCCGAAAGCACTGCTGCTGCTGTTGCTGATGATGATACCGACGACTGAACACCACAACACACGGTGATTGGAACTGAATCCGATCAGCGGTTGAGACCAGCTAGCTGCTTGTGGGGAATAAACACCGTTTAATGAGACCGGATGGAAATCAACTATGAGATCTGTGTTAGGGAAATAACTTTTCGCAGGCAATCGGTGATAATTTTAATTATCATAGCAATAGTTGCACATTCTTGTTGTTTTCAATTGTGGCATTTTGAAGAATGATAAAGTGTTAATTTGAAATATTTCTGTAAATATAAATAATAAATGATAATAAATATAATTTTAAGATGCGTAGAAATATTTTGGATCGAATGGTGATAAAATTATTAAAGTGGTCCGGAGGCAGTTGAGTTAATAACGTTAAAAATCTTTCATAATTTTGTTACTTGTTCCATTTTTTGTTTTCACAAAGTGTACCCCCATATAGAAATCACAGACGAAGTCCTACGTCAAAAAAACATGAAAATGCAGGAACCTTTTAAATTAAAGTTTCTTTATCTGAGAACAACTTTTATTATTCTTCTTATGGCTTAAAGTCTTTTCGAAAAAATAAAAATATATGTTGGAGCGATAAGAAATTTGAATAGCAAATTTTATTGTGGATTTTTGAATCATCATATGTTAGGGCAGGATCGTGGTTTTCCGGCGGGGTATTTCGGGATCACATACGGACACTAGTCACCAAAATAAAGAACGGCAAAATTGGCGGAGTTGGCACTCAAGATCACCAAAACTTTATTTAATTGGAAAAAAAACGATCGTTATTTCTTGGCTGTTGGAACTTTACTAACTAAATTTTATTCCTTTACATTGTCTATTGAGACGTAGGTTAACGTTGTGTTGGAAGCATTTCATCTTCAAAACTTGCATACAATATTGGCAGTGCAGAACTAGAACTGCCAGCACTACCTGCCGTTATCGGGCAACAATCAGTTTGAGAACTGTCATCATATTTTTAAAGTAAATATTTTTTTTCTATAATGCTTGATTAATGCCTACAACTTCTTATCAGACAAAACACACCCAAATATTTTTTTCCTTAACCTGTGCAAAATACATAATCTCCTATACCGTTAAAATTAGACTATTTGTGTGCAATATTTTGGCTTTTTCTGGCTGATTTCACCTGGAAATGCTACTAAACCAGTCCTTCTTTATTAATCTCCAACCGTGATTGCTTTCAAGCCTTTTATAGTTCCTCTGTAAATTTTGATCTGACCATGATGCAAGAAATCCATGGAATACCACACACTTAGATTTTTTTTGCCGACATGGGCACCACCGAGCAGTTCGGCATTTTATTTTGCTGGAAATTCAGCAAAAAATATGTTTGTTAGCTGAGATCTCGGCGAAATTCCCGTTTGTTAGCTGAATCTCGGCAAGTTTTTCACTGAGATCCAGCAAAATAAAATGCCGAGCTGCTCGGTGGTGCCCACCTCGGCGAAAAAATC